CCACTATGTGCAGGCCCCATCTATCAGTGCCATAGTCACCCTATACTCCGTATAGACATTCCGCCAGGGTGGCCACTATGTGCAGGCCCCATCTAACTGGCTCCACAAGGCAAGCCATAAGCACGGGCCTTCAGGTGCAAAACTCTGTGATGCAAGACTCTGTGATGCAAGACTCTGTGATAGATCTAGAACTGTGACTGCGTCAACAGATGCTACGGGTTGCTGAGACACAAAAGTTTTTTTTTTTTTTTAATTAAATATAAACATCATCATTTAGAGACACTAAAGAATTTCCAAGACGATAACTACCAACTTGCACAAAGTGAAAAATCTTTTGACCCAAACTATTCCACCTCCTACTCTTTCTAGGTTAACAACAGCCCCCTCAAACGGACGTGTAGAATTCACTGACTTCTTCACCCGAGTACAACGTATGGTCATTATCGCCATTTTTGGTGCAATTTCCAGTCCAGATACACAGCTATAATGATGGCACATTGTATTTGGGGGAAGAAGGTAGGCATGATATCTTTGTGCTACGATAGACAACTCGCATGTGGTTCGATTGCAACGCGAGGGAAATGATATGTTAAGGCTGTTAAGCAGAATTTTCCCGAACAACGACTGCACCTGGCGCACGGTCGAGACACGTTGGAGAGTTGCCAAGGGGCTTCCGGATTCAACTTCCGCGTCACGAGAGGGCCTGTCCTTCTACTGTTGTTGTCTAGTTAAACCACCAGTACTTGGGCACTGCGCGCCGCGCCGGCCGCCCAAATCTCGAAGCAGCGCGGGCTGTCGATTTGATTTATCGACGGCCCGTCGGCCGCGGAAATCGCATAGCGTTAACGCTAAGGCGTCGCCCAAGTACTGGTGGTTTAAGGCTCTTACGCAGGATTTCCCCGATGATGACTGTACCTGCCGTGCGGTTGAGAAGCGTTGGACAGCTGCCAAGAGGCAGCACAAGAGGCGAATAATGGGAGCTGAACCCATGTTTCCAAATTCCCACTCTGACACTTTGGCCTATTAAGTTACATTCGCCAAAATGTGGTCCCGGCTCCACTCGGACCGACAAAGTGTTTTAGTCTGTCGTGTTTAAAGTTTAAAATAAACAGACTCAACAATCATGCAAAACACGGGACGCCTTAACCATCTGTGTGGAGTTTGACTTCCACCTCACGAGACAAGGAGGCTGAGTTTCAGCATTCAGGGAAATCCTGATGACTGTACCATGTGTCTGACAACTGTACCATGTGTCTGACGACTGTACCATGTTCGATCCAATTTGCGTCATGTGCTCACTGGTTCAGCAACCAGTCAACAAACATTGACTTGAGTTCGCAATTTGCCAGCAAACACTGACTTGAGTTAAGCAATGTTTTTTATTTTTATTTTTTCTAACGGGTGACGGCACTGATGGTGTTGAGATATAATCATTGGACTGACCGACCCCAAATAATTCAGAATAATTTTCTTCTGTTCCACTGGTTGCATGTGGATTCGAATTTCGGTCCGTGTTTCAACAGTTCATGGGTGTACCTACTGGCCTAGGTACCCGTTGGTTTAAGCAATATTTCAGGAAACATTGACTTGAGTTACGCAATTTGTTAGCAAACATTGACGTGAGTTCGCAAATATGTTAATGCTCTGATTCATCCTTTATGCCATTATATGCCCCCCAAACTCTGGCATCTCCCACTCCTTGAGCAAGGTTAATAATGTCCACCACTAAAATGAAAAAGAACACGAAAAGTGCACATGTAATGGCTCAGAGCTCTAAGCTACGTAACAGGTCGATATGTTTGCAGATGAATCCTCCTTTGGCAAAATAGTCAGTAAGTACTATGTAGCATTTACAGTTATGCCCCTCAATTGCTTTGGGGGAACATACTTTTGCAGCTAAGCCGGCCTCAAAAGTATGCAGTATTTACTATTTACTATTTACACATATACCCCTGGATTTCTTTTGGGGAACAGACTTTTGCAGTTAAGTCCTCCGAGTTATACCACTTCAGGGTTAACCCCCCCCCCCCCCCCCCAAACACAATATGCCCTCATTTTGACGGTCTCAGGTCGGAACGATCGTTTGCATACAAACATTCTTTATCAGGCGCGTTATGTATACAAACATTCATTATCAGAGTGCGTTATATTCGGGGGAAGACGTCAGCGCCAAACCATGTGCTCTGCGATAACGGTCCATTGAAATGTCCCACACAGTACAAACTGTCTGAGCTTGCATACGGCGATCACCAGCTCCGCAAATGCACCCTCTACAGACCGAAACCGAGAACATAACCTTACACTTAATCAGCAAACACCACCATCAGCCATTCACGTAAAAGAACACCCAAGTCCCATCTGTAACAGGCAATGGCAACGAGCAAAAGAGTGTGTCGGCTTCACTATTTCCTCGATCCTCGGCTCCCAAGACCATTCTCCGTTGCAGTACCGTAACCAAATAGGCACAGTACCACAACCAAATAGACACAGTACCGCCACCAAATAAACACAGTGCCGCAACCAAATAGACACAGTACCGCAACCGGATAGACAGTACCACAACCAAATAGAATGGGAATCGACGCTCTTAAGAGGACACATTAAAAGACAATGTTGTCCGCCACGGAATGATTTAACAGACATGGCAGTTGGGATCGCTTTTACGGACAAGCGCGACTTTCGAAACTGCACTCCTATCTACACGCCTTGTGTGGATGTTGCTCGAACACTTGCGAACACGACACATGCACAAACACAACTGTTCCAGCGTATACGAAGGTAACAACCAGGCAGTGGATCACACTTTTTGACGGTGTTTTCATAACTTACTAGGATGGGGGATGCTGACAATCGAGTACCCAAGTGAAACAGTTTTCACCTTTGGCAGTAGCCGATGCAGATCCCAGGGGTCGATCCCTTGACCTCAGCTTACCTGTGTACAGTATCTGCACAGTTCCCTGGAGTTGAACCCGTGACCTGCACGATAGCCAGTGGTAAGTAGGTCGCCGTAGGTTGTAGGCTGTAGGGAGATTCGAACTGTAGACCTGTAAGGTAGGAGTCCAAGTAGAGTCCAGAGGCCTAGCTGTAGTCCGTCTAGAAGGTCGGCAAGTGGTCAAGTGGTGAGTCTAAGGTAGGCCCACGTTTTCAGACGAAGACAAGTGGCAAGGTCAACAGGTAGGACCTCAGTGCAACTGCACTGAGTCGACGGTACGACTGCCTACAGTCAGCAGAAGGGTCTAGAGAGTCCCAGTCCAGTCCAGCAAGTACCACCTGTCTCTTATACACATCTAGATGTGTATAAGAGACAGCCCGGAGGACGCAGTGGGCAAGAGAGGAGGAGTTAGCATAGCGATAGGTTAGAGGCAGCCATAGCTGCCATAGCTGTAGTTAGTAGTGAGTGTACGTGTGTGCTCGAGTGTTCGAGTGATGCGTGTGGGATATCCAGGGTGATCCAGTGTATGTGAACAGTGAGATGTTTGGGCGCTGAAGTCGCCATAGCCAATTGAGAGTGAACTCGTATCTGAAAGCCATATCTCTGAGTTTTGAGTGGGCGCATGTCGCCAGTATGCTGCGTTGCTGTTTACATGCATGAAAAGGGTGTGTGTTTGAGAACGAGTCTGATTGCACAAGTGCTATAATGTGGTGAACCAGGCCACCTGTCCCATGGATGTATCTCTGTCTAACAGTGTCATGTTGATACCATGGCTGATGTCGAGTCCTGTCGTTTTTTGTTTCCGATCGGTCAGAAAAGAGAGAGAGGGTCTACGCGGGTGCTCTGACCGAGCTAATGTGGCGTTGTGCTAGACTCTATGTGAGCGAGGAAACGTCTTGTGCAGAGGCGGCGAGTAAAGAGAGAAGTGGGCGCGCTTTGAATAACCCGTATGTGAGAAGCATGTCGCTGTACTAATCGGTTCGTAGTCTGAGAGAGATGGGTATTCCCCTTGGTCATTATCATCGTGTTCACTGTTGTTGGCGTCTCGAGACAATGCTCCACGCGCTGGCTGTCATTCCACGTCTTGTCCTCATCATAATTAGCTTATATGCATTCGTGCATGAACTCGTTGTGGTCGCCATGGTTATTTTCGAAGCTGTCGATGTATGACTAGTAGGACACCGTATTGACTATCCGCTTGTCTGGAATGTAGACGCGAGGTGGTGGATAGGTGTATGCATGTGTGAGCGAGTGGTGCGCGCGGATGATATGCGAAGGAAGTCCTTGCTTGATTGCATATGAGGTTGGGCAGTGGGGGTGTGAATAGGTCGCATGAATGTGAGCGCAGTCGATCCCGTGTATGTCGGTGTTCAATAGGTGGATGTGTGCAGTAACAAGGAGTCAAATTGCTGACCCGCTAAGTTACGTGCGATGCAACAAACATAGGGGTCGTTAGAATGAGAAAAGAACTGGTATGAAGTCGATTTGTTGGCACGCTAGTTAAAAGCTGTATGAACTGCCGAACCATTAAACAGCCATAGCCAGTTGGAATGTTTTTTACGGACGGGTCAGACTCGAAACCACACTTCTATCTGTATGCATCGGAAGCACACTGCTTGAACACGTGCAAACACAACCATTGCAGAGCCACTCACTTATCCCTTCTTATCCCACAATAGATAAGACAAAATCACACAAGCGCCACACCACACAATTGCTTACTTATTCGCTGTCTACAACTGTACCTTTTCCTTTCATTACTGTGTTCCGAACTTCCCATCTCAGTCTTGGGGATCGAACTAACATCGAGGGAAGCAGAAGCCACGTCGAGGAACCAATGACCCACCTTCCCATAAAGCTTTGCCATCTCACGCTCTTGCTGCGTCAATCGCAGCCGCTCAATCCAGCTCCTCACCGTCGACATCTCTAGGATCTGGTCGATCGATGGCCTGTCGTCAGACAATTTCCCGCAAATGCACCCAGAAAAAGAATCCAAAATGATGTCAGTTGCTCCACATCTCTCACCATCGATGGCAAAGTATGCATTTGCCCAATTTTGTGGGAAATTGTTTGTCCCCCGTGAAAAGGGTATCCATTCGCCATCCCCCACTATGAGCAACAAATGCGTTTGCTGAGCTTTGCTCTAACTTCGTGCATCATCCTTATTCCTGTCTCTTATACACATCTAGATGTGTATAAGAGACAGGTTGCCGGCCCAGCACTGTATTATAATAATGTTTTTTTTTTTTTTGCCCGGCCGTGCAAGTGGTCATCAGCCACTCTGGTAACACATGATCCGANNNCATGGTAACCTTTCTTCTCTGTGCCGTTCCAATTTTTAACGGATGGCATATCTCTATCAGTTCTGCAAAGCTTTAAAAGGAAAAAAAAGAAAGAGGGAGACGGATCTTGCCAGCTGCTGACAAACAGGGAGCAAGTTCAATCGTACAAACCAGATGGCAGCGTTGCCGCACGTAGCTGACCAATAACTCATAATTTTGGACGAATAAAAAGGTAACCGAAATTCACTGATCACCATAATGAATAGGCTTGCTGGGGAATAATAATAATATAAATCTTCATTTTCTTTTCCTTTTTTGTGCTGGATATAATGAATATGCTTGCTGGGTAGAATTTTACTATTCTTTGTTTTCTCGAGATGGCAGTTGTTTTTTCATTCAAGTTTGACATTTACTATGCAAACCTTTGACAGCATTACAAGTATTGCTGAGCCTGCTACTTCACAAAACTCTCTCTCTCTCTCTCTCTCTCTCATATTAGACTGCCTTGAACAACCCCCCCCTCTTCTCCTGGCGTCCTAAACATACCCCAAAGAGTCCAACACCAAACAAATGCAGACACCACTGTTCACTACGTGCTGCACTCCTAAAATTGTGTACTGCACAGCTGAAACTGTTCTTGCTACTTTTTCGGTTATCTATCCGTCATAACAGTTTCTGTGACCCTGCTCAGTCTTACCGTAGTCAAACAGTCTATTCAACCGTACTCTCTGAACCGTGCGAGATGGTCACCCATCACACAGCTCTCCAACCTGAGTAACCTTTCTCGCATGCCTGACACAGTGGAATTTGGTTACGCTGTGCTTAAAGAAGAGTTAGGTGATCTAACCATCATATCATCATAACATAGTTTCTGTGGCCCTGCTCTGTCTTACTTCTTAGCCATCATGACATCATAGCATAGTTTCTGTGACCCTGCTTTGTCTTACTTCTGCGCATTACCATAAAGGAGAACTGACTGTTCTTCACTTCTCACTACTTCGAGGTGATTCTTTTAAGCTCAGTGTATAAGCGGCGCCTTGTTATCACGAATTCAAGATCAAAAGTTTTTGGACTTCATACTAGTTCATGACATTTTTCCTCAAATGAGATGCCAAATGTTAAGTCAAATTATTCTGCCTGACTTAGACATTCAATTGAATGAGGTATGCAAAGCTTCTCAAAACAAAATAAAGACTTTGATTCAAAAAAGCGCATAAATGATAAAACAAAATTATCGTACAATTGTAGTGATTTCATAATTGAACACGTCCGAGTCTAGTATGTTCGATATGAGAAAGATTGGATTCTCGGTGTGAATGACCATCATAAAAAAAATAGTTATGCGCCTCTGTGTGTTAGGTGATTTAATCATCATAACATGGTTTTATGACTCTGCGTTAGGTGATTAACCATCATAACATACTTTATGACTCTACTAAGTCTACCTAGGTGCTTTGACCATCATAAGATGGTTTCTGTGACTATGGGTTAGGACTCACGAGTTGGTTCAACCATCATAACATAGTTCCTGTTACTCTACTTAGGTATTTTAACCATCATAAGATAGATTCTGTGACTATGGGTTAGGAGTTGGTTCAACCATCATAACATAGTCCCTGTTAGTCTACTTAAGTGCTTTAACCACCATACGATAGATTCTGTGACTCTGCATTAGGAGATTTAGCCACCATAGCATAGTTTCTGTGACTATACTTAGGTGATTTAACCATCATAACATAGTTCCTGTGACTCCAATTGGGTGCTTTAACCATCATGAGATCGATTCTGTGACTCTGCGTCAGGTCAATTAACCATTATCACATTATTTCTGTAACTTTACTTACACAATTTAACCATCATAAGATAGCTTCTCTGACTCTGCATTGTCTCCCTTCTTAGCAACCGTTCCTTACTACTACTCAGGTCATTTATGCTTTTCATAGCATAGTTTCTTGTACTTTCATAACATAGTTTCTTGTACTCCACGTTGCCGTACTTCTTAGCGTCACTTAGCAGTCACAGCATAACTTAGCAGTCACAGCATAACTTAGCAGTCACAGCATAACATAGTTTCTTGTACTACACGTTGTCATACTTCTTAGCAATTTCTTGTACTACACGTTGTCGTACTTCTTAGCATCACTTAGCCGTCACAGCATAACTTTTTTTTTTTTTTTTTTTTGAGAATATGCTCCAATCTTCGTGGGAAGCAACACGGCTGTACTCCACGTTGTCATACTTCTTAGCCGTCACAGCATAACATAGTTTCTTGTACTACACGTTGTCGTACTTCTTNCTTCTTAGCCGTCACAGCATAACATAGTTTCTTGTACTACACGTTGTCGTACTTCTTAGCAATTTCTTGTACACCACGTTGCCGTACTACTTAGTATCACTTCGGCATAACATAGTTCCTTGTACTCCACGTTGCCATACTTCTTAGCATCACTTAGCGGTCACAGCATAATTGTTCTGACTCTGTGTTGTCTTGCTTCCTTCTGTGGCTCTGCATTGTTTTTTACTTCTTAGCAGTGCAAGCATGAAGGAAGACAACACAGAGTCCATCAAGACAAACTCGAAAAGAATTAACAACATAGTCACTCTCAGAGATAGTAATGGACATGTGGTTGTATTTAAAAACACATGTAAACAACAAAACAACATACTGAAATCTTGTACATACACTGAAGCGGTCCAAGCCTGAAGGGGAGGAACCCTCAAAAAGTGACAAAAACTCTAACAGATAAAATAGGAAAACCCCACACCCATGCAAAATGATGCAATGATAAACTGCACCTCCAAGAACAAGGAACCAACATGAGAGAGAGAGAGAGAGAGAGAGAGAGAGAGAGAGAGAGAGAGAGAGAGAGAGAGAGAGAGAGCCGACCTCTTACTCATGTCCTTCTCCAACATTTTGTGAACTAAGAACTGTAGCTCTGCTGAGTACTTCTCAGGGAGAGGAGGAGTCTGTTCACCCACAATCTTCTTCGCCAATGCGATCTAAAGCGAAAATTGTCAATGCATAACAAAGAAAAGAAAGAAAAACACAGCGAGAAAAGAGCAGTATGAGCTGTGGATCAGCATTTCCCACATTTCTGTTAAGTAAACGAAAAAAAAAAAAAGGGGAAAAAGTTCAAAAAACAGCTTCCCTTTACGGCCCGACACTTGACTCAGAATAATAGACTCTGCACTGAGTCTGCAGCATATAACCTATACCATCAATAGCTGATAATTAAAAAAATTGAGAAAATTACAAAGCGAGTCACACACATTAAACAAGAGTTTCCTTTCTCAGGAAAAAAAAGAAAGAAAGAAAACCAAAATTCGTTTCTCTTGCAAGGAGAATGAAATGACAGAAATCCAGATTGCAAATCACATTGAAAGCCAGATAGTCGAATGCTGTCCAGAAAGCAGAATTGCACTAATGTTACACCGAGGGAGAACCAAAGCATCCAACTCAATTGTCAATGAAAGCATATGCTCGCCACCACCAACAATGCAATCGTAGCTCTTCCTCCTACTTGTGCTCAGCGCCTAGACTACGTTCACACAGCTACTCTATACTATACTACAAAGTGACCGAGCAACCAGTTGACATCAGCAGCAAGAACTGAAGTACATGCAGATGTCAACCATGCAGGCCATCGTCAAGACCATGTACGTCTCTTCACATCATCATCCTCATCTCTCTCTCTATCTCCCTCATCTTCTTCACCCACGTCTCCCTTCACACAATGACCACCACCACCTCCGCTGACTACATCCAATCTATATGTCGCTGCCTCACTGCAGCGCCCTCTTCCAAGTGACCACGCTCGCCCAACACTTCCTCCTGCGGCCTCTGAGCGCTAATTGTGGCAGCACTGCCACTCAAGTGAGCAAGTGTCCGAATGCCCTCTGCGTAGCCCGCCCCTTTCCTAAATGGAAAGTGGTGGGCTCACTGCCTGCCATCTGCCTTGTGGGACCAGGTTTCCAGTAGCTTCACTCTTGCCCAAAGTGACTGAGCCCAGGCCTGTTCAGACAGTGGCCTGGGACCGAATTGGTTAGGCATGCCCAACCACCCAGGCACAAACGTGCGATTTTCCCTGCTTTCACCACATTGCTGGAAGAGCCTGGAAGGCTCACGAATATTCAAGATTCTCATGAGCAAGGCGGATGTAAGCAACTGGCGTGTGGCAACTGTCTGGTTCCCACCAAGATTTGCAAAAATTGACGAATTCAGGGCTCATTGGGATTCGGGGGCCTGCCTTCACTCAGGGCGGGCACACGTCTGTTGCTGGGGCCTTATGCAGGTATGCCGAGGGGTAAAATCCTCGCACTCCCTCCTCCTTTACTTCGACAGTCCCCTGAGAAGTCCTCATTCAGCAGGCTGCTTCCCTTTCAATGCTCTTCCGTATGCTGAGATAATTTGGGGAGCATTCTTCATCAGTTCTTCTCTCGTGAACCATCGATCTTCTTTAGGTTCAAGATGGTGTCTGCACCGCACTCTGTACTGAATCTGCGGTTTTGGAGGTCTTCCCCGGCCTGGTGGCTTAGGCACTGGTATCAATCGATGTTCAAGATTGTCGTCAATGTCCACGTGTCCATCCATGGTTGGGTCCAGCATAGATCTCCTGGAGGGAAACCTGTCAGTTTTAGTGAAAGGGGCCAGTTTGGAGGCATGGAAAACAGGGTGTGTGCGTGAGTCAGGGTGATTCCCTGATGTCATCTGCAGTTGGGTTCCCATCTGCTGAGCTGTGCTCTGCCACAGTTCACTGGTGAATCTGACATCCTTGTCGCCAACGATGGATTTCGGGAGACCAAAGTCCCGTACCCAGTTATCCATAAACAGCTTAGTGACCTGGTCAGTCCTAGCAGTTTCTGGCATGGCCATCAGTCTGGCATACATGCTAAATCTGTCCAGAATGATGAAGACGTGACATTTACCGTTCTTGCAGGTCACGAGAGTATGCATGAAATCCATGGACACAATCTGACCAGGACCAGCAGGTATAGGCAAGAGCTTGATGAGTCCAAGTGGTGCCTTTGTCCATGGTTTGTCGCGCTGACAAACCTGGCAAGTCCCTACATATTTCTTGGAATCTTCCATCATCGTGGGCCACCAGAATTTCTGCACTAAATTTGCAGCAGTGTTTTTATAACCAAAATGTCCGGCTGCATCGTGACATTCCGCCTAAAAACAAATGCAAAGACGCTTTAGAAGGAGTACATAAACGTTTATTCCCCGCCTTCTCAAGGAATAGCAAGCCATCGACCAGTACAAACTCATCGGATGCGGCCTTATCCTTGGCCTCAAGTTTGCGCATGATGTCAGACATGATGGCGTCCTCTTGATAGGCTTCCACCATAGATCAAATTATATTGTCGGAAATGCCAAACTCAGTCACGAGCGCGCCCAGATAGTCCAACCGTCGAAGGTATGAAATGCCAAATTTCATGAGTGGCTTTCAAGTTGCATCGTACGCAACTTGATCATCTCTCTAAAGCCATCAAGCATATGAATGGAGATAAGTATCAAAGTCATTAGCTGCATGAGCGAACCTGGTGGAGCTCTCAGTCGGGCAGTAAGGTAGGGACAAGTCCACAAAGGAGAAATCTTTGCCTTTTGCCAGCTCAATTGAGGGTTTCTTTTGGCCTCTCATTGCACACCACTCAGCAAATATGAGGACTGGCCAGTGTGCTGTTCCAGTTCTTGTGAAACAACACACTCGGTGTTTTCACATTCAGCTAGTGATGCAAAGAGGGCCTTGGCTCCTTCTGGAAGTCTTGCTGATGCCCTGTGGGATATGGAACAGAGTTGAGAATAAATGAAGGGGAGAAATGAGTGAATCCGATTCGGAACACAGTGAAGACAAGTCAGAGAATACTGACGGTAACGCTTTCCTGAACGTATCTGACCGCAATTATGGTCGTACTCGATGTATCTGACTGCAATCATGTGCAGAATATCGTAGGAAAAGTCTAATGTGAGTGTGCCCTCAATGAAAGAAATACGTTCAAATAACTTGATCTTTCAAGATCTGCCTGGCTGTCTGTCACTGACAGAGGCAGACAATGTGGTGAACAACCAAACCAAACCTTCCAACTACCATGCCCAAACCCACAGACTACTAAACATAGTAAATATTCTGCAGCTCCAGCTGCAGCCAAATTCTTGCATTTGTGAGATGCATAACAAAACTTTAAGAAACCCACAGACTACTAAACATAGTAAATATCCTGCAGCTCCAACTGTGGCCAAATTCTTGCATTCGTGAAATGCCCCTTCTGCTCCAACGCTCACCAAATTCTGGCACTCGTGGGACACTCGGTAACTTGCCAGCTGCAGCGTCATTCCTGCGCTCCCCTTCCAATTGGTCCCTTGGAACAGCACTTTGTAGGGGCAGCCACCAGATCAAGCGGTATTTCGGTGGCCTGTTGCAATCCAACCTCCTACAAACTGTTATAGAGATTTTACAGCTGCAACAGTGGAAGACTGGTCCACAACCTCCAAGCAGGAGCCATTGAACTCCGTAACGAAGTAAAGGTTACATAAAATCTCCACCAGTGCTCAGCCCATCAGGTGGTGGCCCTTCCCCGACTCCTCCCATCCTAAAACAGAGCCAATGACTTGGCTTCCCCTCTGGGATAGTAAGAAAGAGAGATCTTCACAAGCGCCCTTCTGAAAAAGTACACAAGCCTTGTCTTTATGTGCAGCCATAAGGGGTGGTGGGCCATTTCCACAATTCTTTTGGGCAGCTGCATAATAAGGCTTTGCTCTTCCTCGTTCTTTCTTTTCTGATAGATGACACCCACCCTGGGAAGCTCCTTGTATTGTCGGCAGCATCCGTCCGGTTCCTTTTCCACCAGCAAGTTCTCGAAAACAACAAATATACCCTTACCGCACCCCTTCTCACCTGCTCTGTATGCCTCTCTCCATCTGACCAGGCATTCCAACGCCCTTCATCCACCCCTTTCTCAACTGTCTTTGCCTTTGCTCTATTTTGCCTGGTATTGCCTACAAGTCTATGCCCGGTCTCCCCTTTCATCGCTACAACATAGGTGACTCTCCTTGCTACCCTCCCCTTGACTCCTACGTCCAACTCGTGTTCTTGAACTCGGGCTCCATCTAGCTGGAGAACCTTCTGTTCGTTGCTAAAATAGAGGGATGGATCGGCTAAGGTTTCCGCGATCCCTATTTTAAACCAATCCAGTCCAATCTTTATGGAGTTTCTGATCAGTTTCTGTTATCCCCGTTCATTAATGCAATCCTGCCTTCAGCTCATGGGATGTCGAAAACTCTGCAAATACGCGTTCTTTGCCCTCTCTAGTCTTCTGCGTGTAACTCTCCTTGCACCTCATGAACGGGCTCTGGAGCTCCGGCTCTGAAGCTATCTGATTTCCTTTCCTGTCTTCTTTTTGACTATGAGTCCCTGTCTTCACTTTGCAGCACTGGCACACAGCTCTGTTCGCTTTCCATTGACAAAATCTCGACTCCCCCAGAAAGGGGAATCAGAAACGAAAAGGCCCACACTGTCCACATATCGCTGCGCAGTCTTTGGGTGGAAGGTGTGGCAAGTTCCCTTTTCTGAGAAGTTTTGACCGAAAGAGAAAAATCAGAAAAGGAAAAGGGCTGCAAACCTGACATTCACTTGAAGTCCCTGGATATTCGTGAGCCTGCCCTGCAGTGCCCAGGGGGAAGGCTCCATTTGCACGGATAAAGAGATACTGCCGATAGATAACACGACGATCAAGGGTCAATATTTCCTGATCCATGCAAAAGGGATCCCCCACCGCAGATGACCAGATGCTACCTCTTGCATTCCCTATCATAAGTACCGGCTGCAAAATAGGGGCTTGGAAATGATGCTCCGCTCGTTGAACGGTACGGTTGATGCGCGCTGAGTCCTCTGACATCCCTCCAATGCCATGGATGCATCTGACTGCCGTGTTGCCATAACGATTGGCATTTCCTTCCACTGTATTCTCCACTCACATTCATTCACAAAGATCCTTGTGCA